AACATGTTCAGAGTCAAGAAAAGGGAACCTACAAGGGAGTGGAAGGACCTAGGCAGTTAAAAAAAAAAGAAAGGAACTCATACAACTTAAAAAGAGAAACAATCCAATTAATGCACAAATTTTTGTACACCGGGCCTCTAGTATATATGTATAAAAGGCTAATGTGCAAATTGTCCTTGGGTAGTTCTACCAGATTGCTAGGTGTGCACTGACCCACTGGGGGGAAGGGGGGAACAGCTCGGAATGACGGAAGGCCCTATTCACCAGCCAGGCCTAGGAACCCTACCCATGCACAAATTTTGTGCACCGGGCCTCTAGTAAATAAATACATAAATAAGCAAATGTAGGAATTAATTTAACCAGGGAAGTAAAAGACCTGTACTCGAAAAATTACTGGACGCTGATAAAAGAAATAGAGGAAGCTACAAACAAGTGGAAAAATATACCGTGTTCATGGATTGGAAGAGTTAACATTATTAAAATGTCCATACTACCCAAAGTGATCTAAATCTATAGATTCAATGCAATCCCTATTAAAATACCAATGACATATTTCACAGATCTAGAACAAATACTCCAAAATGTATATGGAAGAAAAAAAAAGACCCTGAACAGCTGCAGATACCTTGAGAAAGGAGAACAAAGTTGGAGGTATCAAAAGATGATATCAAGTTATACTACAAAGCCATTGTTAATCAAAACAGCCTGGCACTGGTACAAGAATAGGCATATAGATCAATGGAACAAAACTGAGAACCCAAAAGTTGACCCAAGCCATTATGCTCAATTAATATTTGACAAATGAGGCAAGAGCATATAAGGGAGTAAAGAGAGTCTCTTCAATAAATGGTGCTGGGAAAATTGGACAGGTACGTGCAAAAAAAATTAAACTAGACCACCAACTTATACCATACACAAGAATAAACTAAAAGTGGATACAAGACTTAAATGTAAGTCGTGAAACCATAAAAATCCTAGAAGAAACCGTAGGCAGCAAAATCTCCCACATCTCCTGTAGCAGAATTTTCACTATAGATCACCTAGGGCAAGAGAAACAAAGGAAAAAATAAATGGACTACATTAAATGAAAAAGCTTCTGTACAGCCAAAGAAACCAGCATCAAATGAAAAGGGAACACACTGTTTGGGAGAACGTATTTGCCAATGATGCATCTGATGGGTTAATTTCCAAAATATATAAAGTACCCATGCAACTTAACAAAAGGAAGACAATCTAATTTAAAAATGGGCAAAGGACCTGAAGAGACACTTGCCCAAAGCGGGCATACAAATAAATGACCAAGAGACTTGAAAAAAATGCTCAACAATTCATTGTGCACCATCCTAAGTACCATGATAAAACCTCAGTGTGAATCGCCCCTTTGTCCAGCGTATTCACATTGTATACTAGTACACTACCTGCCTGTAGTCACTTAGTAGCCATTTGGTTATCAGATCAGCTGTTCAGATATCACAGTGCTTTTGTTCAAGCAACCCTTATAGTAGCCTAATGCTGTATCACAATGCCTACATTCGTCACCTCAGTTCATCTCATTAGGTAGGCATTGTCATCTCACATCATCACAAGAAAGGGGATGAATACAATATACTGAAAGAGACCACATTCACATAACTATTATCACAGTATATTGTTATAATTGTGCTATTTTATTAATCTCTTACTGTGCCGAGTTTACTAGTATAAATTAAACTTTATTATAAGTATGTATATACAGGGAAGAACATAGTATATATAAGGTTCAGTATTATCTGCAATTTCAGGCATTCTAATGTGTCCCTCAGAGATAAGGGGGGACTGCTGTATTCCATTTCTGAGCAAAGCCTTATTTTTCTAGATTAAAAAAATAGAGCTATAATTTTGTTTTTTTGCAACCTAAATCTTTATTTAGTGGCATATGAAATTAATGAAGTTTTTCCCTATCGTTTAATGTTCTGATTTTTTTTGTTGTTGAATGTTAGAGATCGTTTATTAAAGCTGGTGACAATGAATCAAAGGCTGGGGAAATGAGCCTAGGTAGGCTGCTTTAGTTCACTAAGAATTCAGAGAACAAGGGGCCTTGAGAATAGATTCAGGGAGTTTGCCTGGAATGAACTGTAGCTGCCCATTGCTACCCTGTTTGCAAGCCTCATGGGGTCCCTTAGAGTTTAGGAGATGCATACCTGTGGGGGAAAAAGGAGGGGGGCAGCTTGTGGGTGTGCTCCTGGGAGGGAGAGCAAGCCTGATTCTTTTGATTAGCATGGATATCTGAAAAAATTAGGCCAAAAAAAATTCCTGTTTGATATCTTTAATCACAGTTACTAATATATAGATCAAAAATCCTTTAACTATTGAGATCAAACAATGTATAAATTTCAGTTTTTACTGTTTTAATTCTGTAAATCAGGTGAAGACTAAATATGTCATAGTGTGTTTTGAATGCCTGGTGAAGATTCTGAATAATATGTTTTTAATATGTGGGCACTAAGTATTTTATAAAATATTTACCAAGATTTTATTTTAATGACTTACAGTTTTTTTCCTAAGTCAGTTTCTGTTCTAATAAAGTAGCTGTAAAAATAGAAGTTAGCAGTCAACTAGAAACTGTAATGTGGGATTTAGATATTTGTGAATTTTAACCCAGTCGGTATGGCTCAGCGGTTGAGTGTCGACCTAGGAACTAAAAGGTCGCCTGGTCAGATTATGGGCTTTATCCCCACCCAGTATAGGGGTATGTGCTGGAAGCAGCCTACGATACTGTTCCTATCTCATCAATGCTTCTATCTTTCTATCCCTGTCCCTTTCTCTCTAAATATCAATAAAAACGTATTTTTAGATGTTTGTAGATATTAGATGTGCACATTTTTTATCTTTTTATTGCTTTGAGGAACATTTTTTTTCTTTTTCTTTTAATTTTAGTAAAAAATCCCAGAAGTGGGATGAAATGAACATCCTGGCGACATATCATCCAGCAGACAAAGACTATGGTTTAATGAAAATAGATGAACCAAGCACTCCATACCACCGGTAATGTTTTGTAGACATCATTCCTTTTTTGACTTGTTTACATTTTGCATTTGATATGAACTTCTGGATAACAGCTGATTTGAATTTATTTGTTTTTATATTTGTTACTAAAGCGCTAATTAATAACCCAATTGCATATATTGCATATTTTGTGTAATAATATAACTAATACTAGAGGCCCGGTGCACAAAAATTTGTGTACTTGGGGGGGAGGGGTGAGTCCCTCAGCCCGGCCAGTGCCCTATCCCAGTCCAGGAGCCCTCAGGAGATGTTTGACTGATGGATAGGACCACTCCCCCCACCATTA